CTCTGGGAAGCAAGGTTAAGCTATTCTAAAACTTAGAGTGCAAATACTTACAGAAATGTGCAGTGCTGTCTATCAAAGGTGCAAAGTTTCTACACTGGAGTCATCTCATGATCGCTGCTAACTGCTTTATTTTCATGGCTTCTCTCGTACGGAACCGAAGAGTGCATTGATTGAACCTTTGCCGCTTGTTTACTGCGATAAACTAGGAAGGCCATCAATAACGCGATGGCCACAACCAGGAGAGCAACACCGACCACTATGCCAATGATGAGTGAAATATCGTCTTCATCCTTCTCGCCTTGGGCTGAAAATATACAACAAACATTGAAAATAAATAGGTGTTAGCGAAACAGTTTAAAACTGATAGAGCTATCCAGTATAAATAAAAGTTAGTTTAGTTTAGGTTTGCTCCTGTAGTAACACTGGATCAATAAGAGACTAGCCTTACTGGACCTCTAGGAAGAACAGTTTAGAACTGATAGAGCTATCCAGTATAAATAAAAGTTAGTTTAGTTTAGGTTTCCTCCTGTGGTAACACTGGATCAATAAGAGATGATCCTTACTGGACCTCTAGGAAGAACAGTTTAGAACTGATAGAGCTATCCAGTATAAATAAGGTTAGTTTAGTTTAGGTTTCCTCCTGTAGTAACACTGGATCAATAAGAGACGATCCTTACTGGACCTCTAGGAAGAACAGTTTAGAACTGATAGAGCTATCCAGTATAAATAAAGTTAGTTTAGTTTAGGTTTCCTCCTGTAGTAACACTGGATCAATAAGAGATGATCCTTACTGGACCTCTAGGAAGAACAGTGTAGAACTGATAGAGCTATCCAGTATAAATAAAGTTAGTTCAGTTTAGGTTTCCTCCTGTAGTAACACTGGATGAATAAGAGATGATCCTTACTGGACTTCTAGGAAGAACAGTTTAGAACTGATAGAGCTATCCAGTATAAATAAAGTTAGTTCAGTTTAGGTTTCCTCCTGTAGTAACACTGGATGAATAAGAGATGATTCTTACTGGACCTCTAGGAAGAACAGTGTAGAACTGATAGAGCTATCCAGTATAAATAAAGTTAGTTTAGTTTAGGTTTCCTCCTGTAGTAACACTGGATCAATAAGAAATGATCCTTACTGGGCCCCTAAGAAGAACAGTTTAGAACTGATAGAACTATCCAGTATAAATAAAGTTAGTTTAGTTTAGGTTTCCTCCTGTAGTAACACTGGATCAATAAGAAATGATCTTTACTGGACCTCTAGGGAGAACAGTTGAGAACTGATAGAGCTATCCAGTTTAAATAAAGTTAGCAGTTTAGGTTTCCTCCTGTAGTAACTTACTATACAGGAGGAAGCCTAAACTGAACTAACTTTATTAAACATTTGCGATGAATGGAAAATAGCCTTAAACTGACCATTTGAGCTCTTATGAATAGTAGTCTTTATTGTCTACAAATAGATATAAACGATGTTTATATATAAATGTTTTTTTTCGCAACGACTTCCATCCTCATTCTAAACTCTTTTACGACTCATTCCAGAGTTTCCGACCGCCTGGAATAACGCCAGCAAGGCTTGGAGCCAAGTGTAGCGGACGGACCAGAAAAATATCTATAAATAAGTTTAAAACGGTTAAATTTAACCAATCAACTTTAGCCCACGCTGAGCGCTATATGGATGGAAACAAAGACTCAAAGTCGAACAATCCCCCAAATAAAAACTAATATTTATACCGCCAGAAGCGTGGGAAGAGCAGATGTTAAAAATAGTAGGAAAAAGTTTTAATTTAAACTGGTTGTACTCAGGTTAAAATTTAGCTTTCTAATGTAGATATATATCACACGTGAAAAATAGGATAAAAATAAACTGTAACATCTAACTTATTTCACAGTTTAACAAGTTCTTTCTCTTCATATTGATTAGAAATTCATTGCTTTTATCTTTTACCTTTACAGTGAAATTGTGACCTAAACGGATCAGATGACATAGTACGTTCAAGCACATGGACTACCTCAGTATGATCTAACCATGCTTAACTCAGCAGTGATGAGTTTTGTACATCAGATCACTTTCCATATTCAAGAACATGTACCACCTCTGTATGATCTAACCATAGTTTAACTCAGCAGTGAGTTCTGTACAACATCAGATCACTTTAAGGTAGCTCACATTCAAGAACATGTACCACCTCTGTATGATCTAACCATAATTTAACTCAGCAGTGAGTTCTGTACAACATCAGATCACTTTAAGGTAGCTCACATTCAAGAACATGTACTACCTCTGTGTGACCTAACCATGCTTAATTCAGCAGTGAGTTCCGTACAACATCAGATCACTTAAAGGTAGCTCACATTCAAGAACATGTACCACCTCTGTATGATCTAACAATGCTTAATTCAGCAGTGAGTTTTGTACAACGTCAGATCATTTTAAAATAGTCCACATTCAAGAACATGTTCTACCTCTGTATGAATATGATCTCATCTATAACAATGCTCAATTCAGCAGTGAGTTCTGTACAACATCAGATCACTTTAAGGTAGCTCACATTCAAGAACATGTATTACCTCTGTATGAATATGATCTATAACCATGCTTAACTCAGCAGTGAGTTCTGTACAGCATCAGATCACTTTAAGGTAGCTCACATTCAAGAACATGTACTAGCTCACATTCAAGAACATGTATTACCTCTGTATGAATATGATCTATAACCATGCTTAACTCAGCAGTGAGTTCTGTACAACATCAGATCACTTTAAGGTAGCTCACATTCAAGAACATGTACTACCTCTGCATGATCTAACCATGCTTAACTCAGCAGTGAGTTCTGTACAACATCAGATCACTCAAGGTAGCTCACATTCAAGAACATGTACTACCTCTGCATGATCTAACCATGCTTAACTCAGCAGTGAGTTCTGTACAACATCAGATCACTTTAAGGTAGCTCACATTCAAGAACATGTACTAGCTCACATTCAAGAACATGTATTACCTCTGTATGAATACGATCTATAACAATGCTTAACTCAACAGTGAGTTCTGTACAACATCAGATCACTTTAAGGTAGCTCACATTCAAGAACATGTACTAGCTCACATTCAAGAACATGTATTACCTCTGTATGAATATGATCTATAACCATGCTTAACTCAGCAGTGAGTTCTGTACAGCATCATATCACTTTAAAATAGACACATTCAAGAACGTGTACTGTCTAGAACTGATAGAACTATCCAGTATAAATAAAATTTGTTAATTATTTCGGTGAAATGACTCTAGCTAGGGAGAACAGTCCAGAACTGATAGAACTATCCAGTATAATATATCGTTCACTGTAGGTTTCCTCCTGAACAAACTAGTACTCCACGCCTAGAGAGAGAACAGTTTCGAAGTATCTAGCATAAAAAAGTAATTTTAGGTTTGTTTGAATTTTAATATGTGGGCATGACAAAGAGTTAATGTCTACACAGGTGGCTCTGCCTGTGGAACGCGAGATGAAAGTGCTGACGAATTGGTTTCCATAACAACGTAACATTCCATAAATGATAGTAATTCATGTTATACATTGAGACAACAGTATCAATGCTGGAAACATCTAGTTTGTTCTATAATCGATTAAATAGTTGACTATATGTTGACATAGTTAAGTAGTGTTTATATCTGGTCACATGCTGACAACGTGCTGTTAACGTGCCGTTGTCATGTTATTATGATTTGTCGAGAGGTAGTACATGAATGTTCTTGAATGTGGGCTATCCTAAAAACATCACAGCTGAGTTAAGCATGGTTAGATCATGCAAAGGTAGTACATGTTCTTGCATTTCGGCTGTCCTAAAAACATTACTGCTGAGTTAATCATGGTTAGATCATACAGAGGTAGTACAAGTTCTCGAATGTGGACTACTTTAAAATCTGATGTTGGACAGAACTCATGGTTTGATCATGCAGAAGTAGTACATGTTCTTGAATGTGAGCTACCTTAAAGTGATCTGATGTTGTAGAGAACTCACAAGCTGAGTTAAGCATGGTTAGATCATGCAGAGGTCGTAGTACATGTTCTTGAATGTGAGCTACCTTAAAGTGATCTGATGTTGTAAAGAACTCACAGCTGAGTTAATATGATTAGATCATATGCAGAGGGGTCACACGTTCTTGATTGTGCGGTACCCTAAACTAGTAATCTTGGTTAGATCATGCAGAGATAGTACGTGTTCTTGAAATACGTGACTGTATGAGTCACGTAGACAAAAGGCACTACATTACCCTAATCACAAGAATGCAACTGCTATAAATGGCGGTATCAGTTGATAAACAACTTTTGAACACACGTATACATCCGCAACTAATGGACAACTTGCATGTCAGACTAAATTTTAATCTAAGTAAAGAGAAGGGAATAAAACACAACAGTTAAAAATAAATTAATGAAATTAGTAAAATTGCAAAATTTGGTTGCGAAATGTTGTAAAATGCAGAAAATATAGCCTTGCGAAGTTTGCATATTTTCAGTATATTTGTATTACGTGCGGAAATTGTTACCATTTTCGGCTCGAAAATGGTAACAATTTTCGCACGTAATACAAAATGACTGAAAATTGCAAACTTCGCAAGGCTATATTTTCTGCATTTAATAACATTTCGCAACCAAATTTTGCAATTTTACTCAATTTTAATAAGTTCTTTACGGGAATTTACTTTTTTTGCCTAAATCTCAAATTTGTCTAACATGCAAGTTGTCTATTAGAGGTTGCACATTTTCTAAACAAAAACTACGGGGTTTTTTAAATTAATATTTATTTTTAGGAATTAAGCTTTCTCACAAAGTGATTTTCAGAAAGGTCCTGAAATAAACAAACAAATTTACAAGGAAGACATGCATATGCTACAAAACTGTGAAAAATATTAAAAAATTATACGAGGGAAAGTTCAAAGATTGCTAAAAAAGTTTCTCTTAAATGTAGAAATACTACCAGAGAGAAATCAGTGGTTTTGACGCGTTGCGGTTGACGTTTTGTTTGCATTTTCTCCTTACAAGAGTTAGTCCGGATAGCTTTTCCGGACCAAACTAAACTGAACTATTTGTCACAACACTCCATGCAAAAGGAACCGGAATGTCACAGTCTGATGAAAGACACACAGACCACACCTTACTTTAATATGCGGCAGAATGTAGACTGTTGTTATAGCAAGTTATGTGGTTAGCAGTCCGTTGACCGTTAAACTACCGTTGTCAAAAACGTCACACTTCGAGCGTCTTTTACGTTAATTAAAAATAACTTCCTGTAATTTTTTTTTTTAATGTTGTTTATTTCACGTCAAAAACTAAACTAACTTTATTTATACTGGATAGCTCTATCAGTTCTAAACTGTTCTTCCTAGGGGTCCAGTAAGGATCATCTCTTATTGATCCAGTGTTACTACAGGAGCAAACCTAAACTAAACTAACTTTATTTATACTGGATAGCTCTATCAGTTCTAAACTGTTCTTCCTAGGGGTCCACTAAGAATCACCTCTTATTGATCCAATGTTGCTACTGGAGGAAACCTAAACTAAAGTAACTTCTTTTATACTGGATAGCTCTATCAGTTCTAAACTGTTCTCCCTAGCCTAGAGGTTCAGTAAGGATCATCTCTTATTGATCCAGTATTACTACTGCAGGAGGAAACCTACACTAAACTAACTTTATTTACACAGGATATATCTCTATCAGTTCAAAACTGTTCTCCCTAGAGGTCTAGTAAGAGTCATCTCTTATTGCGTCAGGACTAATTTCCTTATCCTTACGAACGCCTAGAGATTTCAGACTGGCATTAAATATCCATTTTTAAGGTTCATATATATTGTCTGATATAGTAAATTGCAGAATAACAAAAGCTGGGTTAAATATCGCGGTATTTGGCGTCTCATACTTCGTAGTTTGTTTGTTTTGAACATTCGAGTTTACCTTACAGTTTCCTGCCCACAACAAAGGAGGCAGATTTGGAAAAATTTTCCGTTTGGTACAGAAACGTTTCACGTGCAAGCCGGCCGCAGGTTGTCATAGACCGGTCAAACATGACGAAATCGATTACTTCTCAGAAGTTATACTCAGAATTTCCACAAAGGTTTTTGCAGCTAGGATACGAGCAAATGAACATATAAAGTTTTTAACAACTAATTAGGTAGCCAGGCAACTCAGGTTATATCGAATCCACTAAATAGGCAACTTTTATATAAGAATATCACTTGAATTTACAGCGTTCTAATAGGATTTTGTGTCACAATTAAGTGTTGCAAATTTTATAGAACATTTTTATGCGAGTGTTTTAACGATAAAAAGTACATTTAAATTCACGAAATAGCTTTTAAACTTAAGCCTATGCTGCAATTTAATTCCCACACAAATATAACATGGTACAATACTGATATTCTGTATAGTTAGTCTGTAATTTAGTATTACCACATGAACAGACAAACCATATAACTCTTAACTCATTTTTATAGGGCTTTGAAAGCCGCGTTAACACCCAAGGGCAGTTTTATTCAGGAAAGAGACAGTTTAAAACTACATTCATAAAATACAATCTAAATTTAAATTCGTAATTGCGTAGGACGCATTCAGAAGGGGATAATTTACGAACGCCCACAAACAGTTTAAACAAGTGTTAAATATTTTTTCATATTAGCCAAATGTTAAACGATACAATTTTGAGAGTATTTTGGCCGTTAAAATATAAGCTCTATTTACCGAATTCGGGAAACGAACGTCAGGGGAAAGTTTAAACACTTTGAACACTTGGTTTGAACGTTACGAGAACGCCTTTTTGACATATAACACCATTTTGGTGTGTGAATTTTGAAGTAATGTTACGTCAGCCATTTTGGCATTGACGAAAACGGATGAATCATTTCCTTGTTCATATAAGAATCTCTTGTGAACTTAATTTTCTAGGTTGAGCTAGAAATAATCATAACAAATTTCCAATGACTGTTAAAGTATGTAATCACCGGACACCCATTGAATTTAGACAAAAACGAACACATTTTTATAAATCCGAAGGAATTTCAACAATTTATGTGTCGCGCTATATCATTGCGTCATCTTAAAAGGCACGTGAGCGAATAAATCATTAATATTTGTACACCAAAAGGACATTTTGTCATAAAACGGATACAGTTTTCGTTTATTTGACATTGTAAAGTTGTTAGGTCTGCTTTTAGCGACTGTTTGGCTGCGTTCTAGTGGTGGTTAAGTAGGGTCACAGGTTTTTGGCGCGAAAATATCAGCTGCTCTTTTTATTGTTTTGGCTAGCTTAGAAAGGACTTCATTTGCATTCAAACACAAAGACAGTATAAATATAACCGAAACCATCCAGTACTTCCTGTAAATAGCGTATAGTAATTCAGTCCGTGGCATGGCGTAAACATAAAAGCCATTGGCAAGCCGGTTGGACATTAGTACAAGAGGAACCAGCGTCGAAGAAAGGTCGAAAGTGAAAGACTTTGTCAATTTGTCTTCAGGAAGGCAACGGGAACTAAGTGAAACATATATACATTTGAACACTTCTGACAGAGGCGATATTAGGAGGAAGAACACGAATTAACGAAAGGTTTTAAAGGAAATCTTGAAACATCGAACCGGCGTTTGTAGTTGAAAAGCGAAACATCGAATTAATTGGGACAAGAATAAAAGGACAACAAACTAAATCAGAGTAACAATTAGAGTGATACAAAAATGTCTTTGGTGAACGCAATATTAACAAATTTACCGAAGAACGATAATTTTAGTGCGCAAGACGAATCGCTAGGTCACGCTCAGAGCCAAAATGAAGAAGCACAAGTACCTTTGAGTTTCTTTAATAAAAACGGTGCGAGTTTTCCAATGAAACTAGCGGAATTAATGGTCTTACATCGCGCTACGAAAGCGCTTGCGACCGCTTGTAATATTGGCGTATTCGATTACTTAGATAGCGATGAAACGGCTAAATCTGCTACCGAAATCGCAGAACATTGTAAAGCTAGCGTTAATGGAATGACCAGGCTGTTACAAGCGTGCGTCTCGCTGGACCTGTTGCGAAGTGTTGTCACCGAAGGTGTACAACGCTTTGAACTCACACAAGACTCGAAACGACATCTGACTATGAAAAGCCCAGAAGCATTACGTGGTGAAATAGCCTGTATAGACATGGAATATAATTTAACAGGCAATTTAGAACACGCAGTTCGAGAGGGCACTACTCAATGGCCTCGAACTCTTGGCCTGCCAGAAGGTGGAAACCTTTTTGATTTTGTCTACTCCAATGAAATGTTCACATTACAATTTTTGGCAGGAATGCATGGTGTCTCAAATGTCGCCAGTCCAATCTTGGTGAGAGGAATTGATCTAAGCGGTTACACCAAGGCATGTGACTTGGGAGGTAAGACGATTTTTGGTACATGGTAGTCCAGCATAGGTAGTATTCTTCAGTAAGGAGGAAACCAAGTCTAAACGAACTGTATTTATATCAGTTCAAAGGTATTCTCCCTAAGGCTAAAGGTTTTCGGCTTGGTGTTGCTACAGGAAACGGGATCACTGCGACGAGTGATACGGCTTTTACCTGTAGTAGCACTTGCCCAATAAGGAACGAGCCCATATTGGACCTCCAAGGAGAACAGTTTAGAACTGATAGAACTATCAAGTGGAAATAAAGTTAGTTTACCTTCGCTTTTCTCCTGTAGTAATACTAGACCATTATAAAAAGATTTCACTTACTGGGAAGAACAGTTTAGAACTGACAGAGCTATCCAATATAGTAGAATTGTAGTTTAGTATTTTACTATTGTCAAGTGCGCGAAATATTAGGACGCTTAATTATAATCACGGCATACCGCAAGCAGTTCAATTTTTAATAGTCCGAATAATGTATTAAATTCATTCCCCAAAAAGTATCAATTAGAGGAACATATATTCTAGTATGCAAAATGGTTTCCCCATAAATACCCAAGTATAAACTTCCGACATTCTGTTAGCTGTGAAGTAGATTGTTTTTTTGCGTTATAAAATACAAGATAGTGTTGGCAAACTAACCAGTCACGCGACTACCAACTCTTATGGACTCTCATCCGTAAGTCAATATTATGTTGACATTAGAGTAAAGACCTTTAGACTATAGTTCGGTAACCTTAAACCGTATTATTTTCAAATTTGGTTAAACACACTCAAAAATGCCTATTCAAAATCAGACTGTTTTGATAGAGCGAGCAAAGAATACAAAAATATTTTGTACAAATCATAATGAACCAATGTCCTTCATTGTACAAACTCTCTTTGAGCTAAATTACAGCGTGTACAATTACGAGATCGATTACTGGTCACAGTTCATTGATAGTCTTCCCCACATTCCAAAATCGTGACAGGTTTCGAAGACGTAAAACCTGCTTGTGTTTTTTTTTACATCATCAAGAAAATCTGGTTACAATGAATGCGCTATTCTTTCTACGACGGGGATTAAATTCACCTCCATCGTATGTAAGGATGCTTGTGGCTCGATTCTCTCAAACACAGGTTAATTGCCACTCCTGTTTCCTCCTGTGTAGCAGTGACACAAGACAAAAGAGCAATGGCCTTTACTGAACTTCTAGGATTAAAAAAAAACCAACTTCGATCAAACTGACAGAGCTATAAAGTATAACCAACCTGTTTTGGAGGCCCTTACCTCCTCAAACAACCTGCTTCAAACGAGGTCGCAGTATAACATGATTAATTTCCTTTAGTTAAGTTATATTTTACTTATGCTAGCAAAGCCAGTAAACTGGTTGATAACACACACACTAGACTTGTGTGGCATAAGATAAAATCAGTATTTTGGTTACAAGATCATATATTTGTTTTAAACAACATTTCCTTCCTTTGTTTTTAACATACCAAACAAAGTAGACAAAATTTTCAAAAATATGGCTATCCAATTTCGAACATGGTCAGTTCTGTCTAGCCTGAATCAAAACTGAATTTACCATGACATAATCATACTTTTCATATTTGAAAAAATTCTTCAAATTACATTATCATTCCCTTCTAAATATTTCGAATTTTCGATAACAAAATTTGAAAAAAAATTACAAAAACGTGGCCATCGGATTTCGAATTTTTTCCACTTTCCTCCAGCCACAACAAAAATCCCCGAGATCACGCTAGAAGAAACTACAGATTGAACCTCCGAATAAACATACATTCCATATTTTATGGAATTCTTAAAGTTGCACTCATTTCTTAAATTCTTTCCTTTATAGATTTTTGAGTAAGATTACGTCGGAGTTACTATAATCATTATGTTAGATTTGCATACTCTTGTACTATTTCCGGCGAACACTTATGTATCTTCATTTTAAGGCGGAGTTGTAAAGATGAAGTTAAGAACTCGAACAAGATCCGAATTCCGGCTCGACGGGACGACTCCGGAAGAATTTATTTTAAATCCCTCTTTTGATCACATTTTGCGGAGTCCCGACTCGAGCTATTTTTACGTTTGCTTTTGTGATTAGCATTCAGTGTATTGTGCAAGAGGAATTCCTATCTAGAATGATTTAGGACGAATTAGAATCATCATTGTCGAATTAGAATCCTATCCTTGTCGAATTAGGATCATTCTTGGGAATTAGAATCATTCTTGTCGAATTAGAATCGTCCTTGTCGAATTAGACTCATTCCGCGTAGGGAATTAGAATCATTCTTGTCGAATTAGAATCATTCGTATAGGGAATTAGAATCATTCTTGCATACGAATCAGAACCGTTTAGAACGAATTAGAATCGTCATTGTCGAATTAGAATCATTCTTGTCGAATTTGAACCGTCCTTGTTGAATTAGAATCATTCGTAGGGAATTGGAATCATTCTCGCAGACGAATCAGAATCAGTCATATCAAATTAGAATCACTCTTGGTGAATGGGAATTACTCATGCGAAATTAGAATTATTCTTGCCAAATTAGAATCATCCGTATAGCAAATTAGAATATCAACACGAATTAGAATCACATATATTGCGAAATACATAACAAACTTCACATTCAGACTATTTGGCTCAATCCAAAACGGCATTAAATCGGCAACTTCGATATTTGGACCGAAAGTTGCCGCAGCTTCCGAAATATAGTGGCCGAAAGAAACCACCGATACCCCGGCGGAAGGAAACAAAACGATGATGTGCTTATCGGAGTCAAATTATTCATTAATTAACCATTAACGGTTACATTAACTGGACCAAACATTTTGGTACCATGGTTAGGATTTGGTTTCACAGTTCTACAAAGTAAAATTTTAGCAAAGTGATGAATAAGAATCCAAACGGTTGACAATGCATTGAAGCATTATATTGCTTTTAATTAACTGCCACACTGCAATACAATGAAATCTAAGAATAATTTGATCATAACGATTTCGCAATAAACTTTTTAATATATAGTATTGTTTTACAGTTAAGCCAAACTAGATAATTATTTGGACAGGATAGCTCTAATAGTTCCGAAGTGTCTCCTCAAAAGTAATGGCCATGCCTTATTGGATAGTATTATTACCGGAGGAAACCGAATTTAACAGCGAGGCACATTACTAGTATTGGACTTAATTAATTAGTTCTTAACATAATCGGATCTCTGAATGGTGCGATTTCGCAACAATTTTTTTTAATTTCAGGTTTTTTGTAATTCATATATTAGTATTTGTTTTACTTCAAAAATAACTGGGTGCAAAGGGTTCTTAAGCTATAGCCACTTGACTTAATATAATTTTGGATAATTCACTTAATAACTAAACTTAACTAATTGTAATGGCATTTACTGTTCCGCAAACTTTTAATAGCTGTCAAAGCGCCATAGAGCAGAACTGTGCTAAGAGGTTAAACAATATTAAAACAAATAAAATACTTCACTTCATATTTTAAATTCCTTCGACGGGCATTCGTTATTAAGGCCACCAACGTTTAACTCGGTGACTGTTCTCGAAACCTGTTCTTAATGTTTTTCAAATAATTCAGACACCAACCACGGCAGCTATTGTAGAATATTTGACCACCATGAAATTTTTCGTGTCAAAGGTGGCATAAACATGTTCTGTGCATAACTAGGGTCAATTATAGCGAATTAGAATCATCAGTAGCCAATTAGAATCATTAGTAGCGAATTACAATCATTACAGTATCGAATTAGAATCACCGACCACCAATTAGAATGCTTTATAACGAATTAGAATCACTCGCAGCGAATTAGAAGCATTGATTGTGAATTAGAATCATTATTTGTGAATTAGAATCATTAATAGCGAAATGAAATCGTTGCGAGCAAATTAGAATTATTCATAGAGAATTAGAATAATTCATAATGAACTAGAATCATCTATATCAAATTATAATCATTTATAGTGAATTAGAAGCGTTCATTTCCAATTAGAATTATTCATATTCTTGACTTATTTTTAACCATACAAATTTCCCCCCTCAAAAGTAGCGGCGTAAACATGTTATGAACAGCAAAAATAAATCAAAACAACTTTGTTTTTCGCAGTTTCTTAGACTTCCTTCCTGTGTACTCGTGAGAGATTTCCCGCCTTAACCGACGTCCAGCTAGCTCCCGGTGTCCAGCTTATTTCCGGTCAGTGTCAATCGATCATGCACCACTTAAAGTGGCTCCCTGCTGATGGGGAAATTACACGCTGATTGCAATTTATTAGGCGATTTTCAATCTTGATTGTTAAACAAATATTTAACCGCAGTTACTTGTATTGGCGTTATTGCAAAGACAAAATATTTACCAGTAGCGTTAATTATCTGCGGAATATGTGAATAGTCTATCACAGTTTAACTAGGCATGGTTGTAGATTATGGACTGGTAAATTAGCATGGTTAAACAATGCATAGATAGTACATGCTTGTAAGTACATGTTCTTCGATGTGGTCTATCCTTACATAAGGTCTTCTGATGTTGTATATACCTCACTGCTGAGTAAAGCATGGTTAGGTAATATAAGGATTGTACTAATTCTTAGATTGCCCCCATACAGTGATCAAATGTTATACAAAACTCTAAGTTAATTATTTCCAGATTTGAGTAACATATTTTGACTTTTACTCAGAGCTCTAATTAGCACGTAGTTAAATTTAGAAAGTCGATTCAAAACTTGCTTTTGTGCTCTTATTACCACATCTAGATGAGGCAAAATATTTTGAAAATCTATTTTGACAACCGCAGAGTTTGGTTGTCAAGACAAGATTTGAATTAGAATCGTTCATAGCGGCGAATTTGAATCATCATGCATCACTAATTAGAATCATTCATAGTGAATTAAATAGAATGATTCTTAGTGACTTAGAGTCATTATTAATAGTCGAATTAGAATCATTGATAGTGAATTACTTAGAATCATTCATAACAAATTAGAATTATCATGCATCTCTAATGAGAATCATTCATATAGTGAATTAGAATGATTCTAAGTGAATTAGAATTATTTTAGCGAATTAAAAGTCATACTCATAACTGTCGAGGCAAAATATTTTGAAAATGTGGACTGCAGTTGTCAAAACAGAATTTTCGGCCATAAAAAAATCAAGCAAACAATGTATTGATACATTGCATGTGATAACTCCTCGTGCACCGACATGCTGTGTCTTTGTGCTGATATTGATCTCACATGAAGAGCAGTATACAAAAGGCAAGCGACGTTCCGGACCTCACGCGTGCCATATATAAAGCAGTAAGCACAAGTGAACGTTAAGAACGCCTTCTGGCTCATTCTAAATTTATCGATCTGTCGTATGAATAAACCCCGCACACCAAGTTAGAATTTCAAAATTGCATTGTGTGGTAATTGCGGTGATAATTATCCAATCGAGCATCGAAATAATTGACCACCATATTTACTCGTCTATATTTACTCGTCACGTTTTATGTATTCGACTATAAAGGCTGATTTCCACTGTTGCGTTTTTCATACGTTCGTTTACGCACGTAAAACTTTAAATCCGCCCAAATGTTACTCATGAAATAACCAAATAAATAAAGTAACACAATTTAGTGTTCCGCAAGTTTTAGTATGCATTTGTTAACTTATTTGTAAAACATTTAAAGGATTCAAAGTTTTACGTACAAGAACATTCATGTTAAATTAGCCATAGGTTTGCAAATAACTAGACCATGTTTGGCAAATAGATTTATAGAATTTTAAAAATTAGATTGTACTACGTCTATGATCTATAATTAGTCGGCTGCGGTTGAATTTATTGAGCAATATTTAATGTTTAAGCTTAATTTGTTTTGAAAGAACATTCAATTGGCCATAGCTTGTGAATAGCTAGCATTACTAGAATACCTATATAGAAAAATCTTGTGATGTCTGCACTGTCATAATTATCTGACGTGAAAATATTTATATGATGTAAGCAGTTATTATGTGCTATTAAAGAACATACGTATATCCTAAATTTAACCTACGTTTTTTTAAAATAGCCGAGAAATAAATTCGTACACCTTTAAACTAAAGTAATTTTATTTAGCTCTATCGGTTCTAAACTGCTTGCCATAGTGGTCCAGTTAGAGTCATACCTACAGTTACAGGGATAACCAGTTATAACAATCACTTATCTCATTCTAAAGGTGGCACAGGAGCATTTGCATACCATGCTGTAGCCCAATATCCACAGATGACCATGTCGATCCTAGAGTTACCCCCAGTTGTCAAGGCATCACCCCACTTCACACCACCTAACCTACCAATGTCCCAAAGATCCCGAGTGCAATTCATTCCCGGGGATTTCTTCAAAGACGACCTACCACAAGCTGAGCTTTATGTCATGGGAAGGATTCTACACAACTGGGGTGAAGATTTATGTGATATATTGTTGGAGAAAGCTTATAAAGCCTTGCCACCAGGTAAAATGATTGCTTTCAAAGTAATCGAACTTTATTTATACAGGAGAGCATAGTGACAGACCTATCCAGTATAAATATATTTAGTTCGTAAGTGTGGTTGGGCGTGTGCTTATCATCCATATTGCAGCGAGAGCTAAGCTGAATTGCAAAGGACACAGCTCAACCTGATCGAGTGGCAAGTTTTGTAAGGGCGCTTCTGGCAGCCACTTTATATGACGACTTTCAGTAGAGCGTTGACTGACTCTTGTCAGTGTCATGAATCCGCGAGTCGAACCCATGTAACATTGGATCAATAAGAGATGATCCTTACTGGACCTCTAGGAAGAACAGTTTTCAACTGATAGAGCTATCCAGTATAAATAAAGTTAGTTTAGTTTAGGTTTCCTCCTGTAGTAACACTGGGTCAATAAGAGATGATCCTTACTGTACCTCTAGGAAGAACAGTTTTGAACTGATAGAGCTATCCAGTATAAATAAAGTTAGTTTAGTTTAGGTTTCCTCCTGTAGTAACACTGGATCAATAAGAGATGATCCTTACTGGATCTCTAGGAAGAACAGTTTTGAACTGATAGAGCTATCCAGTATAAATAAAGTTAGTTTAGTTTAGGTTTCCTCCTGTAGTAACACTGGGTCAATAAGAGATGATCCTTACTGGACCTCTAGGAAGAACAGTTTAGAACTGATAGAGCTATCCAGTATAAATAAAGTTAGTTTAGTTTAGGTTTCCTCCTATAGTAACACTGGATCAATAAGAGATTATCCTTACTGGACCTCTAGGAAGAACAGTTTAGAAC